CCGTGACGAGCATGGCAGTCGTCCTCTGTACTCGTTCCACCTTGAATCTGGGCAAAGTGTTGTTTATCGCAGGCCACCATGCGGTGAGCACGCAGAAAAGGATGGGACTCATCACAGCTGCGTATATCCAGTGTACTATATGTAGATTTATTCCGCGTTTTTGCCTATAGCCGTCTTAAAGATATGCAGGGCAAGGAATTTGACCTCGGTTGAGAGAGTAAGTGCCACCCCATTTAGGATGGGAAGTTTAAATAGAGGAGCTTTATACTTCCATATGAAAAGTACCATTTATGTCTTGGTAGGATTGACACTAAATCCACATTACTTGGACCAGATGTTTACCATACTGAGTGAGCTTTGCAATAATTTACTCAGGACCTGCAGATGTTTGCCCGTTGCCACGATTGCTATGTCATCAGCGTACGCTATAACTTGACAACCGGTGCCCTTCAGGCTTAGAAGTAGGGCATTATCGGTTAGATTCCAGAGTAGAGGAGAGAAGTGTGCCTCTGGGCACATACTTTGTAATGGAACCATCTCGCAGTTACGAAGGAGTCCAAAAAAATCCACCACACCCCGCTGCACCCCCGCCGTAAGGAGGGAGTTCACAACAGACTTCGTATAGACAATTCTGAAAGCACCCCCCATATCGAGAAAAACTCTGAGCGTGTATTGTCTTATGGCAAATCCTTCTTCAATCGTCGATACGATTTCGTGATGTACTACTTCACTACTTAGTTACTTGGACCAAAAACTGCGGTTTTTGTAACGAACCCAACAAAAATGAGGTAGACCTTTTTATTAGACGGTACAAAGTACACCCCGTAAGCTGGTGCTCGATGGTTCAAGTCTGAAATTTAAACGTAAGTGTCTTGGAGTAATTCTGGACAATCAGCTGCTGTAAAATGACAAGACAATGGAACGCATCAAAACAGCTACAACAGTGCTCTTCCCTAGTAAAAAGACGGATGGTGTATCAAAGGGTTTCTCGCATACTACTTTCACCAAAAAGGACAAAATTACCACACCAACTCTCCAGGACTGGTATGCTAAGTCTCACCACATACCCAACGACATAAACATGGCTTCAAACTCGGAAATGGTCATATGTACTCATGTACCCAGGAATGTATCGGCCTTAGGCGCTATACATTCCAGGATGCATGTTTTTTCACGGCCATGACCTAGGAAAGTCATGCAACCGTTTATACACGCCAAAGTAACGCAAAGAAGAATGTTTTAAGCTCAAACTGAGATCGCAAACATGACAAGTTCGCTTTCTTTGGGATGCATGCAAGTATCTGTCCAGAATCTCACATGTTGGAAGCTCAGGCTGAGAGCGCAAATATGATCAGCCCGCTGTCTTCGGGATATTTGCTAGGATGCATCCGATTTCTTATTAATTGGCATCTACATGAAACCATATACCATTTTTATGAATGCATGCTTGCGTACAAGCGTTTGCATGCATCTTTGTATGCGTCCTAATAGGCATACGAATTCAAAATATTAATATGTAAATACATTTTCATTTAGAGAAAAATCAACTTAACTAGAACTTGAGATCTTATTTAATTCGTTTATTGCACGTGCAATTGGGATATTAAGTGCATACTGGGTCTTCCATCTTCCCTTGTAAAAAGGCAATGGTATGCGTAAGTTGCGCTGGGGAATGTTAAAATTTATACCAAGGACCCACTAATTACACTGAAAATAAAAGTCAAGGAGAGCACAGATCTTCTAGCTTCCAAGGTCTTCAGATTTATTAAAAGTAACCGAGAAGTGTAGGAGGGCATAGGAGCACAAAAATTCAAAGATCGTAATGCAAATCACTTCACTAGCTTCACTTTTCTGTTGGGGAATATGCTTCGGTCTTCCAGGCTGAGGTAATTGCCATGGATTACGTGATGGAACATTGCTGGAGGGGAAGGAGTTTACGTGTCTACAGTGACAACCGAGCTGCACTTAAGGCATTGGCCAGCCCTCTTCCTACCTCCAAACTAGTTCGGAAATTCAAGTCTCGACTAATTTATGGTGGTAAACATAACGAGCTTGCTTTACTATGGGTACCAGGTCGCTCAGGAGTACCTGGTAATGAGACATCTGACCATTTGGCCAGAATTAGCTCAGACCAGGCATTCCTCGGTCCGCATCCAGTTTTAGCACACCCATTTTCGGCCATCCTAGCAACCATCAGAAGTTGGGTGAATACTTCGCTCAGCAATGACTGGGAGGCATCGAGGGGATGCAGGTGGGCAAAACTCATGTTGCCTTCAATCTCAGAAGGTCTATCTAGGTTTTTGCTCTCACTGAGCAGACGACACTGCAGGCAACTTGTTGGACTGCTGACTGGTCACTTCACGTGGCACAAACACCTGACTGTGACAAATGACAAGTCCATTTGCCCATTCTGCCTTGAAGAGGATGAGACGGTGGAACACTTTTGTGCTTCGTGCTTGCTTCGTTGTTTGTCATCAAATTTTCTCTATTGCCAATTTCTGAATTAAGAGTTTGGCGTAAAAAGCTTAGCCGTTTTGTTGTTTTAAGTTTTGTGTTTAAATGTTAGTGATAAATATTTTTCGCATCACTTTAAAACGATAAAAATAAAAATGATGTCGTCAACACAAATAAACTATTTTACAAATACTCCACGTACAAAGTCATGAGTGAGCCGAACATGTGATGAGCTTATGGTGAAGATAATGTAAATAACGCTAGGGCTCGAAGTGCTCTAAAAAATATAACTCCTCAGAGCGAGAGAGTATTTTTTGGATTGACGAGCTCTATTTTTGAAAACCTGCAAGTGTGTAATCACATTAGGGCAATTCATCTAAACGGATAAATGCCTCGTAACAATGTAAACCTCGCAAACTTACTTAATTTTGTATGGAAAATCACTTTGTTTACGAGGTTCACGTGGTTACAAAGCATTTACGCGTTTCCATGAATACCCATATTATTTTAATAAATAGAAATAAAAAATAATAGAAAGAAAATATTTTAGTTAGAATTCACCCGCCCGCGATGCAAATTTACATGGTTATATCTAATCTTCACATTTAATTGTTTATAAGCTTTGAGAATATTTAGAAATGTATCAGCAGGGGGTCTACAGAAACCAGTAAATTTTTGAAAGGGGTCCACGAGAACAAAAGTTTGGGAACCTCTGTTCTAAACTCATGCGTATACAGTAAAAAGTAGAGTCGGATTTTTTAGTTCACTTAAAAGATTAGCTCACTTCTAGTTCGTTCATATTATTGAACTATAATTCACAACAAAAATTTATGTTTTAAAACACATACATGTAAAAGATTGAATTAGTCCGTAAAATAAAAAAAACACAAATTTTTTCTACATGTCGATGGCCTTCTTCTATAACGGCACGATTCAGTCGTCTTTCTCCAAAATAAATTTTGCCTTCGAAATGAGACGAAATGGCGCTTCGATTTGGCATCTGAAAACGAAAGTCTTTTGTTGAACAACAAATCCCAAAAACTCAACTGAAATATTTACTTTTTACACAAATTGCACTAAACGATGTAAAACATTGGAAAACTTTGTTAGCGCGAATTTCGATCAGTTGTTTCTGTATGCCCTTACAACGAAAAACGAGATGCCATATGTGTTAAAATTATATCTCCACTCACTTTATTGAATGAACTAATGAACTAGTTCAATTAAAAGAGCTCTTTCGCTCTTTAGTTCAAAAGCTCCCCAATCCTAGTACAAAGTCTCTTACTGAGTGCGGCAGATTTCTAAATGAGATGGCCCAGCATTGTAGAATCGCGCTAACGTATTGACAAGGAAAGGCTCGACTACTCCTCTCCTTACGGGGAGGGACATGGTAGGTATACCAATGACCACTTTTTAGCTAGATGCCAAGAGCAGCAAAATGCAGATAGCAAATTAACGCTGGAGTAACATCTCCTCCTGTGAAACCGCTTACACAGTGACCTGTGTAAGCGCGCCGGACTATTGTCGTAGTTGCAGATTCGTAGAAGAAAAAGAAGAAAGGGTACAACATAATATTTGCCACTGCCGAGCTCTTAGTAGAAGGCGATTACATACTCCTGGCAAACTGTCTCTAGAAGGCCTTTCGGAGGTAACGGTGATTAATATAAAAGGGAATAGTTTTATGCCTTCTCTAGCCATTCCTATCTAACCTAAGTCACTAAACATTGACGCCAGAACAAAAGAAGGCGTTGAAAATAGCTGATGAAATGACACTTAGCGGCGTCGAAAGAATAAATCCCAAATATGTAGGTATATGTACGTACACGGTTTAAAATTTCGGTTTTAATTTTAAGCTTTTTGGACTACATTTATGCTCAAACTAAATTTAGTTCCAAATACAAACCTTCCCAGTTTAAAAAAAAAGAATACATATGTTGGGTGTAGAATTTAAACAGTTCGGTTTAAATTTTAAACACAAAAATTTTCTATTTTGGTTTAGATTTTAAATAAACTAGAATTAAAACATTTTGGTTTGATTTTTAAACAAATAGGGCCGATACTTGAAACCACGCACTTTTTGGTTATAATTTTGAACCACTCATAAGAAAACATCATTTTCTCGGCTGCTTGTACTAAAATTTAAACCAGAATATATTGAAAAATGCTTAAAACTATTGACTGGTTTAAAAAGTAGACTATAAAAGATTAAAAAACCACCTGCTCTCACACCATATCTAATATTCCACAATCGGTTGAGGGGCGCCACATTTTTCCCACCCGGCCGCCAAATGGCAATAAGAGTCAGTGTCGGATACACGCAGTGTCTGTCGGTGTCAGATGGTTACCACTCCTAGTCTTAAAATTGCCTCATAAATATATCTTAGAAGGATGTGTATTTAAATCTGCTACCATTTGCCGATTGTTTGTTTAACAGAACCACTTCTTTATACAAATTTCGTGTCCATGTGAATTTTCAAAAGAAAAAAACGCATTTTTTCGCTTTTCGTTCGTGACTTTATTTAAAATTTAATGGCAAGATAAATATTAAAAATTTGGAAAAATAAAGAAATACAATTTTACACTTTTCCGTATTTACATACATACATATCTAATGTATTTCTAATATATGTGTAAATGTTTAATTCGCACAAAAAGGAAACAAGAACTAGGCTAAATAGTTGCATATTACTTTAAAGCTCGGGTTCTCTTAACCTCGAGATGGTGGACCTCCTCTACCTCTGTGAATTAGACCACCCAATCCTCTACCTGGTGTACCTCTTCCACTTCCACGACGCCTTTCTCCCTCTCTTGGTCCTTCCCTTCCTGTTATAGGAGTCTTAGGCTCACAAGTCTCAGTCGCAGTAGTCTCGGTAGGCGTGCTAGTGTTACTACCATTAGTATTATCGGTCCCATTTCCTGCTGATGGATTTGCAGTGGAAACGGTACAATTTGGATGGGTTTCGCTTGCAGCATTTGCGCTACAATTCAGTGTAGTTACATTTGAAGCAGCTGCGGTCCCACTTCCTGCTGGTGGATTTGTTTTATTGCTTTGATTGTTTTCAGTTGCTACAGTTGAATCCCCTGCTGAAGGGGGGATGGGCTCATCATCACAACGAACAATTTGAAAGGTCATTGTGACCAAAATGCCTGTAAATAGAAGACCTGATAACTTTAGCATTTCGTTGTTTCCTTTACTGGTTTGCTACGAGTAGAGTGCTTAAAGAACTGTGTGAAGATTTCCGAAAGCAGACGCCCTTTTATATCAAAATGCAGTAATTTTTTCTCATATATCGCCACGTGTTTCACTTTTTTAACATGACTTTGAATATATGTACAAAGATGTGTCTATGTTTGATTTTCGCAAGATGGGAGGGAACACCTGTGCAAAGTTACCTTTTCGGCAAATAAAACGTCTCAGTATTTATTTTAATGTGCCTTTACTTATTTTAAAACATTCATCTGGGTACAAAGATATTTATAAAAAAATATATATATATATATATATATATATATAGGTATGTATGTACATACATATATGGAAATAAGTACATAAATACAAATTTTCCTAACCCTGCCACATGATTGCTGCTAACGTGAAATGGAGAATCAAAAAGACGATGTTCGAGAACTGAGACCGAATATTTAGAGATAGAAATCAAATCCAGGACTAAATGGACTGTTCATATGCAGTCATTTAGAATCGCCTTCTTTTTTAGTACAACAAATATAGGTACAAAATATAATAGAACCTACACTGAATGTGAGACAATAGAACAAAACGAACAATTAAAGGTTAAAAAAAATATAAAAGAAAACATCTCTTAAGTGCCGTTGAACTTAATTTTAATCTCAAATTAAATTAAAGCTAAATTAAATTAAATTAATTGAAGTTGCTTTTATTTGATTTGCCTCTTACTGCAGTTGGAATGGAGTTCCAACTTCTAATGCAGAGGTGGCCAGCTTCGGCAGAGCATTCTTGTAGTGTGCGTGCAATTGATGTCACTGTGTGCGTGCAGTTGAATAAAACCCTGAAGGAAAGATTGGTCCAATCGCCCGAAAAATATAGTTGTAGGTATAGTAGCTTTGTATCTAGATCAAAGATAGTCCAAAAATATAAAGCAATTTAATGTAAAACAGGTGAATTGTACTAAAAGTGGTCCGAATGTAATACATAAGGTATGAGTTTTGATCTAAACTGGTTACAATGTCATGCAATAGCGGACAACGGGTACAATTAACGACTTGCTGATATGTAGGCACTTAGTCAACAAATTTTCATGTGGGACGTTGGCATGCGGAGAGAGTATCCGCTTAGAAAATCTGAGAACCCCGGTTCGAATCCCAGCTGGCGCAAGTTTTATTTTTGTTTTTTCCCCCCCAAAATTGGTTACAATGTAATGCAGAAGCGGACAATTGGTCCGAGCAGTGTTGCCAACTTCTGAGTTTCAAAAAGCACCAAAACTTGGGGAAAATAGCGTTTTACCGTACTAAAAGCACTAATTTTGTTATACCAAAGGACACTTTTTTCATAACAGTTTGTATTTAACAAAAGTGAAAAAAATAAGTAATATTTATAAGTATAATGCAATACACAAAACTTTTTCTCATGCTAACGAAGTAATACCGAAGTAGGTACTGAAGATTAAAACTGGTATATTTAGAGAAAGAAAAATCGAATCGCAACAAATGAAAAAATTAATGTAGATTCTTTTAAATTCAGTGCTGCTACAGCTTTAAATATTTCAAATTATTTCATGTTCTAACTATCTATGAGAAATTTGAGTTCAGAAGAAGAACACTAAAAAAGGCAATAGGCACTAAACAATTTTTTTTTGGCGTTTTAATTTTCAAAAAGCACTAAATCTAGTGCTTAAAGCACCAAGTTGGCAACTATGGGTCCGAGCGTAGGACATTCAATGTTAAATGTAAATAGAATTTGACATGTTGTTGGACCAAACTTTGGCCTAGTTACAATCACTTCATCGTGTTGGTCCCCTTGCCGTGGGGATGAGGCTTAAGTGGTGGTTTAAATCTTCCTTCGGGGGGTTTTAAACCAGCACGAACCAAGAGGGAAGCTCCGTATGGAGATTGGTCGACCACCCGTCTGCGGAACTGTGGGCGTCGTGTTCCTCCAATCATACATACGGAAAGGACCGTACCGACGATTCCCCCACGCTCGTCCTACCCAACCCTTCTCTCCCATCTTTCCCTTTCCTTTCCCCCCTATTCCAGGGTGTTATGCGTCACCGTGCCTATTGGATGGTTTGCAGCCAGGGGTATCCGGCTGTATTCTAACGGCGCTCTCCTGATACCGGGTCACCTCAGGAGGTAGAATGACCTTGCCACAGCGGAGGGGACCGCTGTGGTCGACGACTCCCTTTTCCCCCCCTAAATACGTAGTCCGCCACGCTCGCCACGTCGAGCAGTGCGGAAGTTTATGGTATGATGTACCCAAATAAAAAACCTGCCTCGGATAACCGAGAACCCCCCAAAAAAAAGTAGACCCACCCAGTCAGGAAGGTCCGGTCTGTCCTCGGACAAGACCAAGCAAGCCAGCGGTGCAAAGTCTGTGGCCAAGCCAGGGCTGAGCATACGCTCTGTCCCCTCTGGGACTGCCTCAACGGCATCGAGGCCCCCTTCCGGCAACCGGTCTAGCCATGTCCCTAGACAAGCTAGCGAGGATTTTAATCCGTCCGGTGCTGGTAGCAGACCCACCCTCGCAGATAGGTCTTCGGGAGGCAAGGGCAGCCCTGTCACAAGACAAGCTAGCCCTGCTGCCGTCCCCGCCACTCCAGGAGGCAAGGGAACATCGACAGGTGCAATCCCTAAAGCGGCGTCGGCGACATCAGACCGCATGGCTAAGCCAGCGGCCTCTGAGGTGCGCCATTCTGGCACTAATGTAGCGATGGGCAGTAGCCATCCCCAGAAGCACATTAGTGCATCAGAAAGGTACTATCGTACCAGACGGTCAGCCCTCAGAATCCTGGAGAGACCGAGGGATAAGAAGCCAGAAGAACTGACCGCAGAAGAGCTGGACTCAAGAAATTGGGCCGAAAAGTTTATGGCTGAACACCAGGCGAAAGCCAAACAAGAGTCTGCTCAAGGCAAGCGGAAGTCCTCTAGGGAGCTAAGCTCGGAACCCAAGAGAACAAGGGTATCCGCCTTTTTAACAGCGGACGAGCTGCAGAAAAGATCCTTCGCGGACGCGGCGAAGGACACATTTACCAGGGCTGTGATAGACCGCAGCTCACTTGATGGTGCAATATCACCACAAAACTGGGACCTGGTCAACAGGCGACTCTGGGCCGTCTATAAGGAGGTTCTAGGGGAAAACCCAGGACCACCCCCCAGTTGTGCGGACGCCGGTTGGTTCCAAAACCGCGTCAAATTAACAAGGTGCGCGGACCAGAGATCCGTCGACCTATACACCCTGGCCATCAGTCGCGTAGGCGAGGTCTGGCCGGGTGCACGCCTTGAGGCGATAAAGCGGGAAGACATTCCGAATCGGCCCAGATCCAGGGCCTGGATTCCAGACTTCCACACCGACCCACAGGAAGTGCTGGAATGGATACGTATGGGCAACCCCGAGCTACCCACCCACGACTGGAAGGTAGCAAAGATAGGCGATATCGATGGCAAGCGAAGGTTAGCGGTAATAGTCCTCAACGAGGAATCAGTAGAACCGCTAGCCAACCAAAACTGGAGGATAAATTATGGCTTCCAAGCCTTGAACCTCCATGTTTATCGGCAGGACGTGTCAGGGAAACAACACCCTACCGACGAAGCGAGCGCAGTGGAAAGTGCTACTGACGACGAAGTGGCATCCACCTCCGGAATGGTCGGCGAACTCTTCGAGAGGGTGACTCTAGAAGAGGGGGCGGGGGACCACTCCGACTTTTCCGACACCATGGTGGAAGGAGAAGGGGAGGATATCCTCCCCCTTTCTGACGAAGAGGACGTCAACCGGACTGTGGTTGGCTGTCCAGCAGCAGCACGCGAAACTGATGGTGGGGATAGTTCAGATTAATCTCCACCACTGCAAGGCGGCCTCAGCCGCACTTCTCCTCCGTCTCGCCGAAAGAGAAGAGGAGATCGCACTCATCCAGGAGCCTTGGGTCATAAAAGATCGGGTTTGTGGATTGAATATGAAGGGATACAAGCTGTTCTATGTAACTGACAAAGGTAAACCCAGGTCGTGCATATTGATAAAAAAAGTGTATTAATGCATTTCTCTTGATACAGTTTAGCGATGCGGACAACGCCATCATAGCAGTGGAATCAGGCGGAATGTCTATTTGGCTGGCTTCCACATATATGGCCCACGACGCAGAAACATTACCTCCACCACAATCCTTAAGGAGCGCGGTAATGGAGGCCTCTAGACGCGGCACTCCGATGGTCATAGGAGCGGACGCGAATGCCCATCATCACATATGGGGCAGCTCAGATACAAATGAACGCGGTGAGTCGATATTCGAATTCATTATGTGCAATAACTTACAGGTTAGCAACGTAGGTGATACCCCTACCTTTGTGACGTCTGTTCGAAGGGAGGTCCTTGACATTACATGTGTCAATGAGCAGGGGGGCAGAACTCTTGAATGACTGGAGAGTCTCAAAAGACAACTCCTTTTCGGATCACATGTACGTCGTTTATAACCTATACGTACCAGTAAGAAAACAACAAGCGGTCTTAAACCGCAGAAAAACAAATTGGAAAAAATTTGAAACAATATTTTCTAATAATATTTCCGGCCTCACAAATCAAATAAACTCGGAACATCAACTTGATAACGTCGTAGACGATATAACTAAAGCATTTCATCGTGCAGCAAAATCAGCCTGCCCAATCAGGGCAACAAGTAGGAAACCAAAACCTCCATGGTGGTCCACTGAAATTGCAACCCTCAGAAGGAAATGCAGATCAAAATTTAATGAAGCTAAGAGATCCAACTCTTGGAGTGAATTTAAAGATTGGCAACGCCGATTTAAGTATGCAATAAGAGACGCTAAGCGCTCCTCATGGAGGAACTTCTGTCAGAAGATAGAAAGTACTTCGGAGGCCAGCAGACTGCGCAAAATACTATCTATGAGTCCCAGCAATATTAGCTATCTCATCAAGGAGGATGGTGATTGGACAACTAGCA